ATTTTAGTCATATTAAGTAGATAATTATGTATTGTAGTTTAAAGGTATCTAATGCGATGATATCTTATCGAATACTTCTTTATAGACGGTGTTTTTTTTTTTTTGTATACGTTTCCTTCTAATGCTTTGGTTACTCTGTCATAACCAGAATTCTTGTTGTCGATATTGATATCTCTCTTGAAAGTGCAACATACAGTTATTCGTATAGGAAAATATATTGTGGTAAATATAGTTTAATATTTTGGATGTTTATCCTTGTGCTTTATTTGTTATACCTACAGAATATAAACATACTGAAAATTATTTTCACATAAATTTAAAAGGATAAAAGTTGAATTCGGGGATAAACACATACTTAGAAGCATATTGACTAGTATCATAAGTTCTGCATGTATGACGTTATTATCAAAACTTCTATATACCATATGTGTACTATTACATAAGCTATTCAGTGGATCTAAGTTTTCAGTAGCATGACATACATATTTTTCTTCAAAATCAACCTATATGCAATGGAAGATCAATTTTAACTTAGTCTATTATATATATGGTGACACTAACATACGTAAAAAATAATGAACTTGACAACAAACATGTACGGTAGAAGGCCAGTTGGTATTAAAGTATTTAAGTGTTCTTAGCAGTTATTGTTGGTATCATCTTCTGCTGAGTCAAAACTGAAAAATATTTTGTTTTTACCATGAAACTTAGCAATCAACCTTTTATTTAGTTGATCAACATATTCATTTCTGCTAGCTAAGATAGCTCTTTAATTTCTATCATGTAATTTGCACAAATTGCGTTTTAATCTAATGATAAAAATATATATTTTCTTTATTAAATGCACTAGTATTACCATTGAGGTTGATAACCAAGTGTTATAGAAGAACCAATTCATCGTTTATTTGATGCTCTTATTCGTTTCCGACATGAAGCAAGAAGTCACTGAATGTTGGATTTGTTCTTACTTTTATATTTCTTGTCATCTGAATTTTTCTCATTTGAGGTAATAAGTATAATTTGGCAAGCTAGCTTTTACATTTTCTGCTTTGGTCAACTTGGAACTACTAATCGTACTTGACAGAAATCACCTCCCAAACTATTACTTTCCACCAAACGATTCATCGATATCCTATATATCTCTATAAAACTTTTTAAGTTTGTTTCGATCGTTTGACGCTAAGCCAAAAGCGCTTCATCCCCTATTATCACTTTTGCTTTTCTTATAAATTTAGTACTATTGCTCTGATTTGATATATTTGTGATGGTTATTTCAGTTATTTGAAGAGGTATATCGAATCTAAAGTGAGTTGTACGACCTCATAATAAAATCGTTGCTGGTACGCTATTTGTTCTTATTGCTAACAATATCATGCCTCTCGATCTGACATTTGAAAGTAATGCACGACATAGAAATATTATTTCGATTCCGCCGGAGGCATCTAAAAAGGATAATCCCGCTATACCAGAGTCGATGTTTTATAATATAGTCTTGAAAGCTTATTCTTGTTCAGGATTTAGCTTTGATTGTGCTTCCTCAAACACTTGTGTGGCCTTCTTAATATTATACTAATCTTTTTTACTTTGTGATCTATTTTTTTAAATCTCTAACGCTCTTTTTATGGAATAAATTTATGTACCCTAAGTTTTTTTTTAACTTGAAAAATACTTTTACTCATACGATGATTTAAAAAATAATTAAATTGGATTATCTTTCTAAATAATTAATTGAAAGATTTGATTATTTGGATTTAACATAAAATATAATTTATTTTCTGTTGCATTAGATTCTTAATATTAGTTCATCTCATTTTTGAATATTTAACCGTGATAATAATTTTTTCTTCCACAAGTTTTATTTTAAAGAGTAAAATGATCGATAACATTCCACTTTTAGATCTTTATGTTTGCAAAATCATTAGTGGTATTGTCTCTTACCAACCTTTTTTCCTTTTCTCGCACATTTATATTATGAAAAATTTTCTTTGTTGTTCTTTAATAATTGGGTATATTTTTCTATATTATACGAAAAATTAATAATAAAAAAATATTATTGAGTAGGAAAGCAGTTTAAATATAATATAATATATTATCGTGGGAATTTTTTTCTCAATTTTAACGCTTTATGCAGTCCGTTTAGCATTTTTTTTTTGGTATTGAATATTATAGAGTGGTAATGTGTTACCAATATGGAGGATTCTTATGAAATTGATTTTATTAAACCTTCATACATATTTTTAAGGATTCAATAGACAAGATTGTATTAATTTTAAAATCTTAAATATTAAAAACAATTAACATAGAAATTATTGTAGTCCAAAAAAATAAGTTATTACAGCTATGTCATTTCCCTATGAGTTCTTCAGCTTAATATTTTAGAGCTATTTTGGTCTATCAATATTATGTCCGTGCTTTTATAATCATATATAGGCTCTCCTGTTTTTAAATGGATTTGGACAATATAATACGCTTTCAAATAAAATTAGTAATAGGAATTTTTTAAGAAGTATATTCTAAAAGTAATAGGATTGCAAGGCTAATATCTATTCCCAAAAATAATTATACTAATAGGATTCCTAACATGTAGTATTATGTCCTAAAACTAATAGGATTACAAGGCTAATGTCTAGAGTTCCGATTATGTCCTTTTATCATGAGTTATTATGCTTAATATTAAAAGATTATTTTTGTAATCCAATATTTTATTCATGCTTTTATAATGATATAGATATAGATAGGCTAGTGAGGGTATCGCGGGCATTGCTTGTTAGAAAATCGTAGAAGATTAAAAGAGAAGTATAGCTTTGAGGCGTGAGAGATCACTATCTTTCAAGAGATATTGCCCGTATATTCTTTAGGATATTACAAGCAATTCTCCGTCAGGATACAACAAAGCCAGAATTATACTTGCAAATTGAATATCGCTATTCCTGGAGTCTCCTTGTATTTATAGAATTCAAGAGAAGATTTTTCAGAAAAGTCACACTCCTATATGAACAGTTATGTCTGTTCTATTTAAATTCAAATTTAAATAATCAGAAACAGCTCCAAAAAATAAATAAAACCTTTATTTAAAAGTCCAAGTCCAAGTCATATATATATATATATATATATATATATATATATTAAATACTCATTCTATATGACTTAGTGGGCTTAGCCTTTTATGGCCTCAAAAGTGACTTAAAGTCACCGATGTGGGAAACCCGCACATATACAAACTAACTATGTCTAACATTGCAACAAAGGTATATTGTTTTACTATACATTGTGTTATCCTTCCAATTCTAACCGTAAAATTCTAAGAGCTTTGACTTCTGAGGATTGGTTACTAATTTCTTAAATTCTTTGTCATTGTTTGCAAGTACTTAAATGAGACATAAAAAGTAGTACCGTTGTTAATGAGGGTATAATGACAATGTCAATTGGAATATTTTATATTTAGATTGTCTGTTAGCTCTGCACCATCCAAGGCAAACCAAAAGAGAGCAAAATATTGTTTAATGAAAATGACCTAACTATCAAGAAGTCAAGATTAACTAGCTACTAAGTTTCACTTGAATCGTTGTGTGTTCTAAATGAATGTGAGAATAGTACTTCTCTAATTATATGAATGGTATGTTAGGTCTAAGTTAATTTCAATGATGCAAAATAATGAATTACTCTTTATGTGCAGGAACAGTTTCTGAGCAATAGAACGGAGGCATAAAAAATCAAAACGAAAAAGGAAAAAGGAGCAGAAAAATTATCAAGGGAGCTGGCAAAACCAATTAAAGAGGATACTACAGGAAGGATCTCAATTAAAGAAGGTCAAGGGCACGAAATTATCCGCTTAAGATTCTTACACATAAAAACGTCAGTTAAAGCATAAATCAAGGGATTTGACAACGGAAAAATTATCTCATTAAAGGAAGAAATAAATCAAGCCCACGAGTCAAGGCAAATCAACAGAAGAATCAGTCTTGGAAAGAATCAATCTACGATTCCTTTCTGAGACACAACTCCCTTGGGTTTGCTATCTCTCAAAAGATTTACAAGACATGAAGGCCTCATGAAGTATAAATACCTACTGCACCAGCCTTGGAAATTCATACTTCGATCGAACCAATTTCAATCTCTTCGTTCTACTTCAAACGAGCAATGTAGTCTGATTTAGATTTCTTATGTAACAGAGAGAGAGAGAGAGAGAGAGAGAGAGAGAGAGAGAGAGAGAGAGAGAGAGAGAGAGAGAGAGAGAGAGAGAGAGAAAAGAACATTGGTGAGGCATTGTACCAATTATAGAGAGAAGAACAAAGAGACAAAAGTTGTTGGTGTATAACAATATCAACCCATTTGTATTAAGCCGTTTTATACTTGAAAGAGATCACCCTTGCAATCCAAGGGACTAGACGTAGGATTCACTCTAAATCTGAACCAAGATAATGAGTCATTTACTTTCTGCAATTTATTTTCTATATTTAGTTTTGAAAACCCAGTCAACTAGAACGCAAATTAGTCGACTACTTTGGGGAAAAAATTGCAATTCACCCCCTTCCCTCTTGCACTTTCAATTGGTATCAGAGTAGGTCTCACATTCTTTGCTTAGCGGCTTATGATAAAAGATCATGGAAAATCAAGTAACCGTTGGAGCACTCTTTTGAGAAGGAACGTCGCAAGTTAGGCCACCATATTTCAATGGACAACACTTTTCTCACTGGAAAGTACGAACGGAAATTTATGCAAAATCTTTTAATGTCAAAGTATGACGCGTTATCAAAAAGGAAAACTATCCACTACCAGCAGCAGCTCAAGCACCCGTTGATCCTGAAGATATAGATGAATACACAGACGAGCAAGTGACGGTTTTTCAGGTTAATTCTAAGGCACAAAACTTTTTATATAATGCTATAAGCGGAGAAGAGAATTAGAAAATTTCAAGTTGTGATACAGCCAAAGAAATGTGGGATAAACTAGAAGTCACTTATGAAGGAACCAACTAAGTGAAAGAAACTCGGATAAACATGTTTGTTCATGATTATGAACCATTCCAGATGAAAGAAGGAGATCCATCAAGATTCAACAAAATCATTGGCGATCTGAAAGCCTTTGATAAACCCTACTTAAGTGGTGATCAAGTTCGAAAAACCTTAAGAAGTTTACCTACCACTTGGCAGACAAAAGCAGTTGCACTTGAATCTCAAGATTTAAACATACTTTCATATGATGAACTACGAGGAGATCTTATAGCATTCGAGAAAACCCATCACATGAAAACAAGTAAGGAAGAAAAGAAAAAAATAGTTGCCTTCAAAACTACAACTGAAGGACCTGAAAATGATATTGATGACGACCGAGAAGCTCTTGAAGAAGAAATTACCATGGTATCAAGAAACATGGATGGATTGATGAGAAGGTATAGAAACACAAGAAGGGGAAGGACGTCATCTAGGCGAACCAGGCAATACAATGAACAAGACAAGAATGACGGGAAGTCTTATGAGTGTGGAAGGTATGGGCATGTTCAAGCTAAATGCCCAAATCTTAAAGGAAAAGTCTCCAGAGGGTTCAATAAAAACAAATCCTTCGGAAGCTGGAGTGATGATGATAGTTCAAAACACGAAGAAATAGCAAATCTGTGCTTCATGACCATCTTGGAAAATCACATGAACAAATACTCTGGTTGTTGGACTGATGAAGATGCATCAGATGATGAATGCAAGGAAGATACTGAAAAGTGTTTCATGGAACGAGGTGAAACAAGCGAGTTAAGTTCCTATAATTGTGATAGATATAATGAATTGCATGGTACTATTGACCTTACCCTAAAGGAGTCTCAAAAAATATTGAATGAACTAAGGAGACTCAATAGGGAAAAGAAGGATTGGGAACTTAATCTTGATATCTGTGAAATCAAAAGAGATGTACTTCAAGATGAAGTTCAGGAATTGCAAATGCAACTTTATGGCATGCGCAATTCCACCAGTCACAGTTCTGTCAAGTCTAACCATGCGACTTACAAGTCAACTGGATAAGGACTGGTTAGAACTGAGTCCACAAGTACTAACACAAGTGGTAGATTGAAAACTGGATCAACAAATATTTCTTTTGTAGATTTCGTAAATCTAATGTTTCAGGATAGATTTGAAAACCCAAAAACAATCCTGATTCCAATAGAACTAACCAACAAGGACCCAAGCAAGCTTGGGTACCTAAAAGAAGGTGATAATTCTATTTTGCAGGAAAATGATATTTTAGAGAGTGTGTATTCCATTCACATGACGGGTGACAAAAATCTGTTCAAAGAAGTCAAAAAAAATGGTCGAAACGTCAAATATGGTAATGATTCAAAAGGAAAGATAGTCCGTACCGGCATAGTTCCATTTGGCAATAATTGTGATATTACTGAGGTATATCTTGTAGATGGACTCAACTACAATCTCTTGAGTATAAGTCAGCTATGTGATTCGGGATACGAAGTAAAATTCAAGAAAATAGGATGCACCATTGAAGATGAGATAGGTAAACTCATTCTTCCTTGAAAAAGGTATGGAAACATTTGTATTCTAGATGTCATTGAAAATCTAGATAGTCATATTTGTTTGGCATCTATATCTGATGATCTATGGCTTTGGCATAAAAAACTTGGTCATGCAAGCATGCATCTAATTGAAAATCTCTCCAAGCATGATTTAGTTGTTGGTCTTCCCAAACTAATCTTTTCTAGAAATCATGTTTATGATGCATGTCAGATAGGTAGACAAACTGGAAACTCTTTCAAAACCAAGGACATTGTGTCCATTACTAAGCCCTTGCAATTGCTTCATATGGACTTGTTTGGACCTACTAGAATTGCCAGCATTGGAGGTAAACGATATGCTTTTGTTATTGTTTATGGCTACTCACGTTTTACATGGGTGATTTTCTTATCTCATAAAGATGAAGCATTGAAATTTTTTGAGATTTTTAACAAAAGAATTGAAAGAGAGAAAGTGTATCTTATTACAACCAACCAAAGCGACCATGGAGGAGAATTTGAAAGTAGATCCTTTGAAGAATTCTATAACGATCAAGGTTATACTTATAACTTCTCAGCCCCAAGAACACACCAACATAATGGGGTAGTTGAGCGCAAGAATCGAACTCTACAAGATATGGCCAGAACAATGATATTAGAAAATTCATTGCCAAATCACTTTTGGGCAGAAACAGTTAGTGCAACATGCCATATTCTCAACAGGTGTCTCTTAAGACCTATTTTGAAGAAGACTCCATATGAATTATGGAAAGATAAGAGGCCTAATATTGGCTACTTTCATCCGTTTGGAAGTAAGTGTTTCATTCACAACAATGGTAAGGATAACCTTGGAAAATTCGATCTTTTCTTGGTTATTCAATTAATAGTAGATCATTTAGAGTTTATAACAAACGTACTTTATCCGTAGAAGAATCATTGCACGTTATATTTGATGAAAATAACACTATGGCCGAGAAAGGAATCATTGCAGATGATGAAGATATCAACCAAGAAATATCACGGACAAACAAGCCACAAAAGTCGATTAATAACACAGTCATAGTCAGGGAGTCGACTAATGAACCTGTGAGCAATCCTGTTGAACAACAAAAGGAGTTAACTACTTCTGCAGTTGGAACCCGACCAAATGAATGGAGAAGTGAACCTAAATATCCTCAAAAGTTCATCATAGGGGATCCAAACGAAGGGATGAAAACTAGAGGATCTCTCAAAAAGAAAGCAAACAATGCACTCATCTCTCAAGTAGAACCAAAGAAAGTTGATGAAGCCTTAAAGGACCAGCCAGATACAAGCTATGCAGGACAAACTTGATCAATCGACAAAAATCAAGTTTGGGAATTAGTACCTAAGCCAGCAAATGCTACTATAGTCGGAACAAAATGGGTATTCAGAAACTAGTTAAATGAAGAAGGAAAGGTAGTGAGAAACAAAGCCAGACTAGTAGTTCAAGGCTACTCACAGCAGGAAGGAGTCGACTATGATGAAATGTTTGCATCGGTAGCACGGTTAGAATCAATTCTTATATTGCTTGTCTATGCATCTTTTAAAGGTTTCAAACTATTTCCAATGGATATTAAAAGTTCTTTTCTAAACGGTTTCATTGATGAGGAGGTATATGTAAAACAACCTCCTGGCTTTGAAAACTCACAATTTCCTCACCATGTGAATAAGTTAGCTAAAGCTCTCTATGGACTCAAACAAGCCCCTCGAGCTTGATATGAAAGATTGAGTTCCTTTTTACCAATCATGTGTTCATCAGAGGTAAGGTGGATACTACTTTATTTATCAAGAGATCTACTGAAGGTAATCTCATTATTAAAATTAATGATATCATATTTGGTAGTACTAATCTTCTTTTGTGCAAGGATTTCTCAAATCTCATGCAAAGTGAGTTCGAAATGAGTGTGATGAGAGAGCTGACATTTTTCCTTGGACTTCAAATCCATCAATCAGAAAGTAGAATATTCATCTGCCAAACTAAGTATACGAAGGAATTGATTCAAAAATTTGGAATGAGCAATGCCAAATCAATTGGATCTCCTATGAGTCCCTCTACAACTTTAGACAAGGATGAACAGGGAATATCAGTAGACAAAACCAAGTATCATGGAATGATTAGATCTCTATTATATCTAACGGCTAGTCGATCAGATATCATGTTCAGTGTTTGTAAATGTGCCAGGTTTCAGTCAGCTCTTAAGGAGTCTCACTTAACTGCAATAAAGCAAATAATTCGCTACCTCATTGGAACCACTTCTTACGGACTTTGGTATCCTCACTCAAACAATTTTAAACTTGAGGGATTTAAGATGTTGATCTTGCAAGTGACAAGGAAGACAGAAAAAGCACAAGTGTGACTTGTCAATTACTGGGAAAGGCATTAATCTCCTGGAACATTAAGAAACAGGGGTAGCTCTTTCCACAACTAAAGCAGAGAACATTGCAATTGGAAAATGTTGTGCCCAATTACTCTGGATGTCTCATCAATTGGGTGACTATGAATTATTTTTTGCACATGTCCAAATATTCTATGATAATTCTAGTGCTATTTGTTTATCAAAAAATCATTTGCATCATTCTAGAGCTAAGCATATAGATATTAAGCATCATTTTATTAGCAATCATTATTAAAGGCAACATAGAATTATTGTTTGTAAGTTCCACTAACCAATCTTTACAAAACCTTTGCTTGAAGATAGATTTTGTGCATTACGAGACTCTCTTGGCATTATTTCCATAAACTCATAATTTTAGGGCCCTTTTGATATTTTTAATTATTATCGTCTCTTAATCTAAATATTTTCTTATGTGTGTAAGTTGCATTAATTGTGCGTCTGTTACTTTTTCTTTTTCACATCTTTTCATACCTTTTCAAAGACCGGCCAATCATAGCGTCGAATCTCTGACGTATTTTCATCTGTACTCAACCGTCGTTTCTCATCCTTTTAAGTCCAAAATCTCATCAGTGCTCCTCACATTGTTTGTATCTCCATTCCTTCATTCCAAACCCTACCATGGCGAAAAACTCCAAAAACCCCTCTGTTTCTACCCGCAAAAGCACCCGCTCTAGGGCAAAATCGTCCTCTCAACCTCCTGAACCAGTCAATCTAGGATCAGACCACTCTGAGGATTTTGTCTCTTCTCAAGACCTCTCCGATGATGAGCGCAGTCTCAACAAAAAAGCTCTAGGAAAACGACCCATGGTAGATCCCCCTGAAACTTTCATTCCCAAAAATCCCACTGATCTCTTTAGTTCTCTTGAGTCTGATCTAAATTTCTGGGACACTCCCAACAGGGATGCCTTCATTGCCTTCAAAGACAAGCCTGTCGCTCATGGCAGAGTTGTTGATTTAAATGTCATGGATAGTCTTAACTGACAATGAAGGATCCCTTCGACTTCCAGGGTTGGAAAAACTTTCTCTACTTGCCTCCTCCAAAGGTATATGAACCCCTTGTTAGAAAGTTCTATGCTAATATTCGCTCTAGCAAACCTGACAAGTTAGAAACCTTAGTTCTTGGGAAACACATTGTTCTGGACTGTGCTCTGTTTGATTCCATTTTTCAATGTAGTTTTTCTGGTTTTTCAATGCCTTTTAAGAATACCTGGCCTGAGGATTTTGAAATCTCTTTTGATCAAGCTAAAAGGTGTATAGTTGAATCACTCTGTGACTCCCTTCCTAGTCAATAAGTACCTAGTGATGTCCTTTTCGAAACTCCTATCTTAGCACATATTGTGGCAACCACTCTTCTTCTAAGAACATGATCCTTCTCTACCTTCTCCCAGCATGTTGCCTTCCTAGTTTACTATCTTCTGAGTAAACACAAGGTCAAGATATCCTCTTGGGTCATCAATTTTATGATAAAGAGTGTCAATGATCCCACAAGTCTTCCTTATGGTATGGTTATCACCCATCTACTAGAATCCAACAACATATCCCTAGTTGACTATCCCTATATCACTGTCACAGTCTTACAACTCCAGGGGATTTGCTAGCGTGGGCTATATTTGCCTGGGTCAAGAAACAAGAAAGTGAAACCAAGAATGTCCTCTCCGACTCCAAAGCAAAAACGTCTGTGTCTCACCCTAGTGCAAGTGATCCTGACCTCTTAGAAAAGCTAGTATCCGTCAACAAAAAATTGTCTGTCATCAAGGACTCCTTAACCTCTGTGCAAGGCAAAATTGAAGATGTCCATGGAATGGCAAAGGAAACAGGGTCTATCATGTCCAAGATTCGAGTGCAGATTCTCAAGACTGCAGAAAAAGCAGTAACGACCTTTAAAGAGATGCACGACAAAATTGATGGGGTCTCTGTCACAGTGAATGCTAGTTTTGATCGCCTCAAGGAGGCAGTTTGCAACACCCTTACTTATTTCTGCTCCACTGCTTCTTGATTGTTCAAGACAATTTTATTTCTTTGTTTTGCAACTGATGATTCAGCCATGGGTTGTACTCTTCGGACAAATACTTCTTCCTGCCTGCTTTTATTTTTATTGATG